CCCCCCCCCTGAGGTTTTTCGCGAATAGCGGGAAAACCGCGGCGCGTAGCGCCGCGAAATTTGGTATGACTATAACCTCATCAATTTTACACATGGTGTGCAAGTTTGAACCTCCTACCTTTAAAGGTCAGGTCACCAGGTCACTTTGAATGACCCAACCTCAAGTCACTTTTTTGCAACTTTGTCACCGTGCCAGAGCTACAGTAGATGTCGGAGGCCTTTGAAAGTCGCAGGATATTATTAGGTCATTAGTAGCTACAATTTGTTCATCTCAGAATTTTGATATCGGTGACCTAAGGTCAGGTCAATTTCGCGACCTCCCCAATATAAGTCAATGGGGGAAAAATCAACTCCCTGTTTTTACCACTAAAACGGGTCGGAATGGCCCCATATACCATACATGACTTCATATACGATCAACCTTCACTACCTTGAGCCGAGGTCTGTTTTGCTGTTGGGCAGCTGTGAGGTCATGTGACGTCATCAAAGGTCACCAAAGGTTTTTGGCCAATAACTCCGTACAGGAACAAGATACAGACGCGTGGATGGTCTCATTGTGTTCAGCTCGTCAAGACGCATCGAATGATATACATGATGACCTCGAGGTCACGTGACCTGAGGTCAACCTTTGACCTTGACCTTTCGAGGTCAACATATATATCATTCGATGCGGATTGACGAGAGGATCACGATGATGCCCTTAGTTTGTTCCTATCTTGACTAATTCGAAAGTTATTCGAGAAAAACTCACCATATCTAGCGCCGCCATTTTGACTTTTTCGACCCCTGTGACGTCATCTTTGACCTGACCTGAAAATGACCTTAGTAAAAATTGTAGATCTTGGCCGTGCGTATCCGATGCCGTTTACCGCTTGTCGCTATCTTGCTTCGTTCTCGAGATCTCAGGGGGGGGGGGGCGGTCATCCGCCCCCCCCCGTCGGTGCGAAGTTGGCGCAGACCCCCGTCGGTGCGCGGATTAAAGGAAATAGTTCACTTTTAACATGGGATTTTGAACTGGAATAGCAGTTTCGTAGCTTGAGCTGAGACTAGCACAAATCAGGAGCTTTTACGGCTCAACGATCACCCTAGACGAAGATATTCCATTTCTCGTTCCGAAAAGAGTGCCTTGCAGAGGAATGTGTGCCTTGCACAGGAATGCAGCCACGTCATCGTCAGCCAATCAGCATGCTGCTTACAGCTAGGTAATGCAGCATGCGTAGGTTTGAACTACGCAATATGATTGGTCAACGCGTAATAAGCTTCCGCGTCAAACATTATTTTACATAGAATATAGTTCATCCTATATTAAAATATAGAAAATAATTGTTTTTACAAAAAGGTTTTATTTTATTTTCTAATTATTTTGAGTATAAAAAATCGTAAATCCATAGCAAAATACTAATTTCAGGAAAGTGAACTGTTTCCTTTAACCGTCCGTGAGGCAAGTCCATCCTAAATCTATTATCGACCAAGGAAAAAAGCATTCGACAGCATGAGAAGACAAAGTGAAATCAGCTTCTGCCAGATCCCAAGATATGCAGTGCAAATCACAAGATCCCAATGTTAATGCTCAAATCCCAAGATCTTGGGACAAATCCCAAGGAATGGCATCGCTGGCGGTCAACGCCCCCACTTTTTTCGCCGCGCCATAAAAACGGCGCGCCGCAGGCGCGCCAAAATTTAAGTACCTGTAGGGATTGATTGCAGTTTATTGTGACAAAGTTTCAAAAAATCTGTCGGAATATTTTTGAGATACCTATCGAGGTTTTAGTGACGTCATTATTTGAGTTTTCGACCAAAAACGGCATATGTTCAAAAAATCATAAAATCACAGAATAGACATACAGACATGCCGTAAACGCCATTAGACCGCCAATACCATGAACAATCAAATGGCTATCTTCGATTATTGATTATCGTTCCGCATTTTCCAAAATCTTGAACTGAATCTTGGCAATTTCTCGTGACTACTTTACGACCATGATACATGCATTTCTTAAATTGAACTTTTTGAACCAAACACGTGCACATATGATAAAATGAATGTTACCATCGTATTCTACGCCCAAAATCACCTATGGAACATGTGTCATAGGCTGCGAATATCAGTTTTGATTTTCGGGGATATGTGCCTACCCGGTTGACCTGACCTTGACCCTGCGGGCCTGACCTATGCTTGACTGACCCCTACATATGGAGCTGACACTCTTGTAGGCCTTATATGAAGGATTGTGCACCGTTGTGACAGAGTTTATGACGAGAGGCGCCCATTACGAAGTCCTGTCCATGCTACTGAAAGCCCGATTTCAGGTGTTTGACCTGACCTTGAACTGACCTGTGACCGCAAAATTCAACTTTAAAGTACTAGTCTGAAGCGTCTCGTCGCGTTCTTTCGATTGCCGCCTCGTGCGTTTCGCTGCGCCTTCGAGATATCGGCTGGGGGCGTGTTTAACGCCCCCCCCCCTCCCCCCAGCAAACGGCGGGTGGCGAAATACCCCAGCAACTGCCGGGTTAAGTGCAAATTTCTGTGAACAGTAACACCCACTCAACTCAAATTATTTTACATATTTTGCAGTTGAGCATAATTTTTCAACCCTTTCATGAAATCCAAATAACTTTATCTGGAAAACTACAAAGCCTCTCACAGCTAGCTAAAACTACAGGGGGCCTTGTTAACTACTGGATGCAATCAGCTCGCTGGCCAGCTGGCGACGTACAATAGCCAATAAAAATTGTTACGTTTGACTTTGATATATTGTACGGTTATCGACCCTCAATGCATATACAGAACAAAACAGACAAGAAATGCCAGAGCCACATGGACGATTTTGGAACAGAGGGAACTCGAAAGGATGTTGGCCCTCGGGGAGTGCCCCGAGCCGTAGGCCAGGGTAAAGATACGTACGTCCCGCCAGAACCCCCGCCGCAGACGATTTCGAGCCGGAAATATCAGAAGGAGACCGTTCTCGGAGGAAGGTGAGACGTCCCGCCAGAACCCCTGGCGTAGACGACCCCAACACCAACCAGCACGGGGGCGAGGTACTTATGTGGCGAGAGCTAGTGTCCAACTGACCGCCATCCCGGTCACCGCCCCGACGTGACCTCGTATGGGTCATACAAAAGTAAACTGAGCGGCGAGCGCTCATTGGTGAAGGCCAAATGACGTCATTGGCCCAAGTAATGCAAATCCACATAACAATATATAGATATGAACAGTGAACACGGTAGTATATGGACATTAAAGCGTAAAATGGCACTAATAGAAAAATTTATAAGTCAGAGTGGGTAGATATTTTATCTTGTATAATGAGCAATGATATTTGACAAGCTCTGCTATCGCCACCATACTGTGCAAACTGGCAAATAATCCAGTTAATAGCATGGCCTATCCCAAGAACATCTTGTGTAGTGCATGGATTTTTTCCAGTCTAAAAATAAAGCAGCTATCAGCTTACCTCTAATTTGTCTATCAAGTTGATATCCCTCTTTGCGGAGTTTCCGCGTCCATTCTTGAACCTGAGAACATTATATGGCTTGGGTAAAACATGCATATTTGACACAAAAGCCAACTTTGGTATCTTACAAACCTACCCAAACCTGTAATCAGGCAAATACAGTGGTCTGGTAAAATAAAGATTTGGACTTCTTTGCATTTCAATCACTCATTGGCATAGGTTAATTCACCGTTCCGTGCTTCTATCCTCAGAATGCTGAAATCCTTCTCCTCCACGCCGAAATCCCCCCTCCGCACTGGACAGGCAACTTTATCTCATGCGGGCTACTCCCTTGGAGCGGCACCGCTGCTCCCGAGAGAGCGCACCCCGTAGCCGGGTGCAGTGAGTGCCTTGGGGCTGGGTGGCCTGCAGTGTCCCAAAATTGAGTTTTGTCTTGGGTGTCAGAGGGGAAAATTGCCCACCAAAAAGAGGGGAGAGAGTGAAAAACTGCTGATTCGATTAGATCCAAAAAGAGTGAAAAATGACAAAAAAACGTGCATTTTATTCTGAGGTGTAGGATGCTTGATGCTAAACCGGGCATCCACACAACTGCTCTTTCTATAGGTAAAAAATCTAGGTTTTCTTGGTTGGGAGTGAAAATTGTTCTTAAAAATTGGTGGTGAGAGTGGGAAATAAATTTCATTTGGATGTCGTTTCCCACCGAAATCGACAAATTTTGGGACATTGGTGGCCTGTCCTCTGGACTCACTAGGGTGCCTGCCCAGACCAATGTCTCCCCCTATATCCTATCATCCTTCCGGCTCTGAAATGGTCTCATTGGACCGAAAGGGCCCAACCCAACAAAACAAAACAAAAACAAATAGGTTAATTGCTTCAATCGAACAAAATAATGCATGGGTCTGACAATGGTGTGCCTAAAATTTGGATATCGGCCCCTCATCCTAGGTTTTAAGTCTCAAGTCTGATCTCACTGCAACTGAGCATGAGCATGGACCGACGTACTTAATTGATCCACAAGCCCAACACAAGCCGCAACCGATACCTAAGGGCTTACCTGTTCTTTCGGGTCAGGTTCTTTTGATCTTCCAAACAAACCCATTATTGAATCCCTGAAACCTATCTTGAATACAGAAATAACACAAATATCAAAATAATTGGCCACACCTTCCACCAAAACATCGGCGACAATAACAAATAAATAACACTGTGCGCTGCCTCCAGTGTAAATGCCATAAATGCCGCATGCGCCAGTATGGGAAAGCTGAGCTACCATATATCATAAACAATTTTTATGCAGATAATAATTTGAAGGTTTTTGGCAAAATGATTTTGAAATTGTTTTCAAAAACACGTCAAACATGTTTGAAATATAGTTTTATCATTATGTTAACTATTTGTTGAAAAAGAAGGACAAATAATTGCAAACAGGTTCTTTTTCAGTCAATGGGAAAGAATTATGATCATTAGGTTTCCTAACTTTCCTTCAACTGCATTTGTTCCATTTCTGACGATCCTAAGACAACTATCCCGCGCGCGAAATGTAAACATCCCATTTTGATCAAGTTGGATCAAGTCAATCGTGATGCTGGTCGCGAGCTGTGTGTTATAAGCTATATTCAACGTCTAAATAATACGAGAGAAAGTTTGCTGGTCTTATATTGCTTCTATATTGAATTAAGCAGGTGAGACATAGATGGCCTTGGGTGAGACATCTTTTGGGCCGAAGAATGGGCCAGTATAATTGTAATTCTGCGATTTCCTTGTTTTACACCCTTAAAGGGACACTCCCACCTTAACATTAGTTTTGAGTTGAGATAGCCAAATTGGTGGCCATGGCCTGCAAATACCGGTTTGGGCACTCACAACATCGACAAATGCTTTAATTCGGAGATATGGAATTTCAAACTTGCAGTTTTCGGATTCTAAGGGGCTAGTGCATTGGTATGCCCCCTTAGAATTTGTGACGTCAGCGGAGATCTAACGATTTTTAAATCTTTTACTAAAACGTTTGGTAGCACGCGGTGGTATATGCTGCTTTGCGCGCAACAAATGCCGCACTTTCAAATAAAGTCGCTAGGAACAGCGGAGATCCCAAAAAGTAAACAAAAGTAAATGTCTAATATCTTGAAAACCGGTGAATATTTTTCGATGAAATTTGGTAGATATTCGTTTTCGCTCTTTCTGAACCGAGCGACATCACTTTCGCGCCAATTCATTAACTTTTTTGAAGGTGGGAGGGTCCCTTTAAAAAAGGCGGACGGTGAAAACAGGGCGCGGCAGGGCAAATTCAGTCATGTCATGATGTGATGATTAAAAGTTATTTCCCTCCCAATACCCCAACAGTATAATTGTTACGTGCTTTGTGCAAGCGAATTTCGCGAGCCTTGATTAAAATGCCCTAGGCCAGACTGGAAAAAAATACACGTAATGCCAAATATGTGACTGTCATAGTGGCGAGACTGTGCCGGAAATTTCAGAACACGTCCGGCATATCTTTGCAGGCACCTAATTCAGATCATTGCGGGCGCTGAATTTTTCTGCGCAGGGTGTCTGCAGAATTTTTAGGTGAATGGTGGTCACCAATTTTCTTTTGTCAAGCTGGTTGATCTAGTAGCAGTTTCACCCTGTGGGCTGTGGGCAGCTCTGGAGAAGGTTTTGGATGAGATATCCCCCGGTCCCCCCTGCCCCGGTGACCGGTCATTGCATGCTGTGAATCGTGAGCCGCCCTGAGTCTTATTCAGTGGAGGAGCTTCTGCCCCGCGGTTGAGGCCTCCACCCTCAGCGCGGAGATGGGTAATGGGTATGGAAGACCTTGCTGAACATTGCCGAGCTTCGTGGAGTAATCCTGCAGTGGGTTCCAGCCTCCAGGCGGTTCACTGCGGCCTGCGGGATCAAGGGGAATGAGAGCGCGGGCGACCTGGCGAAACAAGCGACCGCCCGGCCCTCAGACGCCCGCTCGCTGACCCAGGCGGCTCATTGTGTGGCCTGGCGTCAATGGTGCAACAACTTGTCCGAGTCACTATTCAAGCCACTCTTCGGGAGCACGCTGCAGCCCTCATCCTCGGATGGGACCGAGAGGACGTCGTTTCGGTGCACCAGATGAGGGCGGGCCACTGGAGCCGGCGGAGCCGCTCATTCCAGTACCTGCACCTGATCGGCCGTCTCCCCTCCGCGGCATGCCAGCAGTCAGTGCCCAAATAAGCGGTGCCCCGCGGCGCTCTGCGCCGTTTGCCAAGAAGAGGCTGATGCACCGTAGTACGTGCTGCTCCGCTGCCTGGCCCTCGCTGGCGCCCGCCAGCCTCGAACACACCGCTCTGCCGATTTTAGTGGCCCTGGAACTTCCGACCCGGGCCTTGTTTCACAGCACGACGTAAAGGCATGCTTATTGTGTAATTGGGTTTTCATGGAAGCATCAACCAATTCGGACGCTCAAACACGGGTCACTGCCTGATTGATATAGACTTGGTGGGTATATGTGCTCACGTGCTTTATGTAAAAGTGGCTTAATTTTGGCACAAATAGACACCCAACTTTCGACGCAAGTCATGCAGAAATTTCAGCGCAAAATCGCTTACGCCGAATTTCGGCGCATAAGGGTCTCACGTGCATCCGGCGTAGTGTGTGGATGTTTTCCAGTCTGGGCCCCAGGCGCCCTCTTGTTACCGTCCACCTTAAAAAACATAACTGAAGAAATTCACAAAACAAAAACATAAAAAGAAAGAACACATCGATTCCGGCATGATGGATAACATGAGCCTATGATACCATGATTATATACGGCCATGACCTATGGTTCAGCACATCCAGAATATCATTCTTCACCAATTCTTTGTCAGTTTTTACCTGTGCCTTGCCTGTGCCCCAGGCAACGAAACGTGGCACGTGCACGCCTGACCCAGCTAACAGGAAACGTTACTACAACGTTGTCACAACGTCGTGTTTCGGTAAGTTGCGAAATTACGTTTTAATTACGTTGTAGCAACGTTCTGAACGTTGTGAAGCCATGGTTTGGTCCGAAAGTCGTGGTAAAACGTCGTGACAACGTTTTATTGGTACGTTGCAGCAACCGCGCACTTGCAGCATTATATTTTGATAATGCATGGTCACATATATGGCCATATAATGCATTTCCTTTGACTTTCAATGCGCATATTCAGTTTTCATCGTTAAATTTGACATATTTTAACACTTGGACTGTTCACGTTGTCAGCTGGTGGTCGCCAACACGTTGTTAAAACGGTTTTTCACAACCTTGACATCATAGGTACTGAATAATTAGCGGTGTTTTTACAAGTAAATTCTGATACCTTTCTCTCTCTATCTCTCTCTAATATATATATATATATATATATATATATATATATATATATATATATATATATATATATATATAACATGTGTAAATTGCAAAGCGTCATTGGCATGTTTTGCAACATCACAGGCGGAGCTAGAGGCTTGCAACTATCCCTATGTAAACGCGGCTGTTATCCGCGGCTGCCAGCAAGCCACGCGGGCCGCCACTCAGGCGAACGGTGGCTCGCGCCCTGACCTCGCCTGAGGGGCCGTGACGTCAGTGTCACCGGCCGGCGTTCAGAGCCAGCCGGCCGAGCCGCAGTCTACGCGGCGCGAGTGAGCAGTGAGGGCCGGCGGCGGGTGCGGCTGAGATAGCTGGAAGATGAAAGATAGCGCCAGTTGTCTGCGTTTGATGTGATAATTGCTTTGACTGGTAAGTCAAAGTACCATTTACGAGTAGCATTTGCAAGATTGTGCCTTGTAATATCGTGCGGTCTAGGCTAAAGTTCATTGTAGCTCTAGCCTCTAAGGTGTTGACATGTTTGATCTAGCCTGTCGCACTGTTACGGAAAGTGGTGCAGGTATTTTTGTGATTTTTCCATGAATTGAATGTCTGATTTTCCCTCATGTCTTCCCGCAGACGTCCTGCAACTCGTCAGCGCGCCTTGTGGCAGGCCTACTGTCGGCAATGCGGTAGCGAAGTGGCTGTCCGGAAGCTGCGACCGGAACGGGGGGTGCGCAGACCGTCTAGTCAAGCACTGCCAGCTGCCTAGGGACATCGAGGCCGCAAATGAGCCGGTGCCTAACGGTCCGCCGAGTGATCCTCCCAGCGAGGGTTAGTGAAGAAGTGAACTTTCTCCAGTTCTGGCGTGCTAGCGGCTAGCGCTAGAGCCGGTAGAACCCAATTCCCACGCCCCCATGGGGGCGCCCCTGGGCCCCATGCCCATCACCGATGCCGCCGCCGTCGTTTCTTGTGTAAATTGACCTGTGTGCTGTATTGAAATATACACTTCTTACATGCCTTTTTTACAAGTCTAGAGAACGGGAAGAGAGCGTCGGAAACACATTCTGAGTATGTTGCGAACACGTTGAGAGGACGTTGCGAAAATGTTTAGGACGTTTACTCAGGGTCGCAGGGACGGCAATACGAAGTAGCGACAACGTGGTTCGTACGTGACAAAAACGTCGCAGAGACGTTGCCAAAGCGTTCTATACTCCTTGTAGTCACGTTGCAGAAACGTGGTGACAACGTTCCAGAAACACTGTTGGTACGTTACAGAAAACATTTCATAACGTTGGCGGGACGTTGTAAGAACGGTTTTGGGACGTCACGGCCACGTTACAGAAACGTTGTGATGACATTCAAATGCATGGTCGGATGACGTTGTCACGCCGTTGTCTGGAGTCTACAAAATTACGTTGTCACAACGATAAATCGGGACGTTGTGGTAACCATTTGACAACGTTTAAACAACGTTGTAACAACGGCAAATTGTTAGCTGGGGAGGTGCGCCCAGTCCCCGGTTTGATTGAAGTGCACGCCTGCAAGTACGAGTGCATGCTTGTGTCTATAATTTGCACGCCTGGCACGCAGTGTTTCAGTGAACATGCTATCAGAGAGGTAACAAGCGACAAGAGACACTTATCCATCACTGTTGTATTCCTGCTTATTTTCTTGTTCTGTTGCATTTCATTTTCAGATATGATCTCTCCAGAAGAGATGGAGTTTCTGGCTGAGTTTGGGGTGCTCACCATCATCCCAAACTTCCAGCAAGAGCAGCTGTACCTGATAGGCGGTGATGTGGGACCGTTTCGGCCGGCCCTGCCCGTGGAGGTGCCTGTTTGGCTGGCCGTCAACCTGCGCCAGCGCAGCAAGTGTCGCATCGTGCCGCCCGATTGGATGGAGGTCGACCGACTGCAGGTGCGGCCCGCTCTTACCATCATTTAATATTTTGTCCCACACTAAAATGCTATCATAAATCATACTCGTCTGTTCTTATTTTATAACCACTAAAAAAAAATGGTGAGGAGTTTTTACATAAAACTAGACTTTTCTTAACTTCCGCAATTCTAACTTTGTGAACCTGCCAACAGGAGAAGAAGGAGGAAGAGAAAAACTCTGCGCACTTTACGCCGATGCCCTGCGAGCACTATATGGAGCTGACGCAGCTCATCATGGACGTGGCTGCCGGAGACGTGCCCAGAGCCGACCAGATCCGTACTATCATCAAGGTAGGAGCCAGGAACGAGCGGTGAAAACAGAAACGACTGCTGCCTTGGGATTTGATGGAACCGTGGTGTTCTGAAGTGTTTTTAAGAGACTTGTATTTGCGCGACAGAAGGGATGAGCCGTTGGTACTTGTGTGTTTATATACGTTTTTGATATTACAGGACATTTGGGACATTCGTGTGGCGAAACTGCGATCTTCCGTGGACGCTTTCCTCAAGTCCAACTCGTCGTACGCGAAGCTGGACCACCTGACTCTGCTGGAGCTGAACACAGTCAGGCCATTCCTGAACCATTCACTGGACCAGCTGTACCGACTCAAGAAGGTGAGCACTTCAAATCAGATCGTAGATATTCAAATAACATTATCGAATTTTGACAAGTTTTAAAAACAATAAATCTCATCAATCACACTAACATGAGTGCAATGTCCAAAATGACTATTGGAAGGTGCGATGAGATGAGGGATGGAAGTGAGAGTAAGAGGTGAGAATAAAATATGTGTATCTAACTCGTTATTACGAGTGTGTTCTACATCTACGAAAATGATGTCTTGCTGGAATCTACGGCGATAAATTTTAGCAAATGACAGATGTGATATAAAAGTGCATGTAAGGCCTTTACTTTTTAATTCATTTCGAAATGGATAAAATTGTAAGAAATTACCCATTCTAACAATAATTTTTATGTTATACATTTTTTTTACAATTTTATCCATTTTGAAATTAATTAAAAAGTTAAGGCCGCATTTTATGTCACATCTACGGCGATGTTAATTGGCTGTTGTCGGGACCGTAAAGTGGGGCTATTTGAGACAGTGGGGCTATTTGAGACAGCATTTAAAATCGCTATAAAATGAAGAGCGTTTGATTTTTATGTGATATTTTTGCTCAGGAAGGTGTGGAATCGAGCAGTGAATCGCCTGAGCAAAAATTAAGCATAAATTTACAACGGTTTTTATTTTATAACAATTTTAAATACTGTCTCAAATAGCCCCACTGTCTCAAATAGCCCCACCTTACGGTACCAGTATTCGTTTTCCGTGTCACTAACTCTGCTGTGTGCGTTTGCGTTCGCCAGGATACGTACCGGAGTCTCACAATGGACGCAAGTCGAACTTCATGATCAGTAGGAACTGTGGACATCATTACTTTGTGCGTGAAGTGGACAAACTCTGGAGGTTTGTTCTTGGAACTATTGCGGCTCGTTATTGAGGGGTTCCAATCTTCTAGAATAACGACCATCTCTTAGTTTTCTCAGTCCTGCGTCGCATTGGCCATCAGCGAGATCGAAACAGGCTGTCCATCGCGTATGTCATAAGAAAGTACAAGGGGAAGCTCGTGTTTTCTTTTTTCTGCGTGGCTTTGAAATGCATTGATGAAAACAAAATGTTCAATCAACTGTGAATTGCATGTCATCATCATGATTACAAAATGTGAGAAAAGTGACGTACTTGGTACAAATATTGTCCATTCCTGACAAGCAGACGTTGAGGTTTCTTACTGAACCCCAGACACTCATCTCTGTAAGCAGACTGTTGTCAGTTATGTCCGTTTGCATTAATGAGCGTGTCGACTGTCGTGCATTCCAAGAGGCTTGGTAATTGCAGTAACAACTTTGCAGAAATGGTGCAGCCTTCGTACTTTGTGTTGTAGTTAGCCATATGGAGTATGCTTGTATTGAACAATGAATGGACATCTCATTGATGACTTAAAACCATCAACGTCTGGCACTCATGGAATATGTGAAGAGCGATATAACGAGGGGAATATTACCGAGTCCGGCAGTCGTTTCCGGGCCTTGTTCTCTGGATATCTCGCCCTCAATCAGGGAGTTCTAAGATGACAGCAAAATTACCGTCGGTAAACGGAGCAGCGGATCGATCCTAGTGAAAATGTTACTGATCGACAGAAATTCGCCATCTCGAGCACGCTGCTGGTGGCTGCTGGCATATCTTGGAAATTTATCTATCTGAATTGGTCCACAATGAGTGAAAGACAACATTTTGCTGTATGAACTAACACCAGGACACAGACAAAGGGCCACGAACCGACGGCGATCTCGTGCAGGCTGGGCCGCGCACTGTCGCTGTCTGCCGCGGCGGGCGGCCGCATTCTCAGTTCCGGCAGAGTCCGACAGATGGCAGTGATTACGATCAATCGATATCAGCCGTCCCACGGCGGCTCCGCTGTCCGGCTTCTGGCCAGTGGGAATTTGTATGCGCTGGAGCGGAGCGGGCCGAGTGCGGCGGTGTGTGTGCGTGTGTGTGCGCGGTGCCGGCGGCGCCCCTACCTGTGGTGATACGGGCGCTGCGGACGGGGCGGGGAGGCCGGCGGGCCACGGGCGACCGATCCCCCGCACACGGAGAGCGGGTGCATTGTCTGGATCGCGGCCACGGCGCCGGTGGCGTCTCGGTGACCGGCCGGGTCACGCCAGCTGGCCACTGTCGCCCGCCAGCCCGGCCATTGGCGATGAGCTCCAACGCTGCCGCCTCCAGCGATTGAGGTAGGTCGGGGCCGGCTGGCCGCTGCCCGCGGCCGCCCACCGCCGTGGGCGAGTAGAACACTGTGGGGAGCATGGTGCATTGTCGCCATCGGGAGTGGGACCTAAACTATCACCACTCCATTGTTCATGTTGAAAAATTCCTAGCAAGATTCTTATTGATATATATTCCTTCAATCGTATCGCCGATTCTTAATTTGACATCTGAATCGAACGAATATGCACACTCAGGGGTGCATTCTAGTCAATAATTTATTGATTTTAAATATGTGAATATGGCATAGGTGTTATAGTGACGGAGTGCAAACAAAGGAGCCGTAGTCCTCGCTTCTGACATCGGGGAAAAAACATAAAACCCGCTTTGGCCATACCATTTGCATCCTAGAGCATCCATTTGCGGCATTTTGTGCATGCAATTTCGTTTCAACAGCCGCATATATTTTTTTTCAAAAATCCAACAATTTGCCTTGTTCGACGGCCTGGATTTCTCAGATAAATGGCCAGCCCCACGGTCTAAATATACAACCACCCGCAGGCTATTGGACATCAAATGTACTGGTAAAGCGCCCCATCCATCCATGTCAGCAGTGCAAAATACCGTCTGACCCCAACATACCCTGGGTTCTGACCGTTCTGACCGGCCTGACGCCTTGGGCCTGACCTAGCCGCCGACTGTCTCCTCATCGGAGCACGTGACAAGAAAACTGTTGAGCCGCCTGGCGAACTGTCCAACATTATTGGAGTTCCTCGGAGCTGTGATTTATGATGTCGTGACGTCCACTCGTCAGGACTGAGTGGTTAACTGTGCCCATTGCTGGGATGAGTTGGTCATCGGCGTAAATGCTCTCGTCGCTGGAATGGTCTGGGACATTTTAGTCCGTTAATTACTTTGCAACGTGCGACTTACCGAGTCATGATATGGTACCATGACTCTGCAATGTGCAACGGACGGTATATAGGGCCTTGGAACGGACCATGTCATCTCCATAGAATGGCGCGAGCGGGTCACAACAAGCGGCGGGTGTTTGAACTTGTATAACCTGTCCAAAGATGGCGCTGGTAGTCAACGCCTGGAACGTATGGTGTGCCGCAAGGCGCAGCATGCTTGCGGTAATCTGTTCATAGATGGCGTTGATTGTCAACGCCTGGAACATATGCTGTGCCGCAAGGCTCGGTCCTGCCGAGAGCGAGCGTTACCGCGGACGATTGTGTTTAGCTGTTGGTGTTGTCGTCGGATTCACCAATCTGAAATCCAATTTACGGTAGATTTTATCAATCTCGGCAATGTTCCCTATGGGACCAGTTCTCTTGTTACTACCCGAAGTGAAGTAACCGATCACGTCAATCTTGACCCGGCTCGAAGCCATTTCGTTTCAGCTGCGGTCTGCTGCGTTCGATGCGGCGGCGGGCGGCGGCAGCTGGGCCGGATATCCTGTTGGTTTGGCATGCTGCGGGGTGTATTGTTACACGTGAGGCCAGTTTACGTCAGGGACAGCGGCCAAACTGGGCCGGCATCCATAATTCATCGGCAGTCCGTGATGGACCGGCCTACCGCAGAGTACCTACCGCGAATAGTGCAGTGCGGGCCGGCGACACGGTATACCTATAGTGAACGGAAATTGAAACACCGGAAAGAGGAGAGTTGAATGTCCCGCAAAATGATTCCCTACACTCTGAGGTTATAGGTGTCCTCTGATTTGGATCCCAAGAACCAGACCAGTTTTGGCTTGGTTTCTGCATAGAGCGGCGTCAAGCATGTATTCTAATAGTATGGCGACTTATAAACAATTCAGGTCAGGTCCCGACATGGGCGCGGGAACCGGGGGGGGGGGGGGCGGCGGCGGGGGCCGTGAGAGCGCTACCCCCACAACTTTTCATATGGCCAGGAACCGCCGGGGCAGTTTTCCTCCCCAAATTAGCGGTTGTGGGTCAGAAAATATCAGGTTTGCCCCCCCCCCCAGCCTGAAAGTAGTTTCTGCGCCAATGGGTCCTCAACCTGCGAAAAATTCAATCACAAGTGAATCCTTGCACATTTTCCTTCCAGTTCCATACCCGTGACCATATAGCCACTCAATTTCACCTCTTCCCTACATCTCCAAATGCCTCAATCTCCATCCTTGTCATCACAAAGCAGAAGCTGGTCAACTTCCCTAACCCTGCATATCCCATAGCCTCTCTTATATTCCCAGACACCCCAGCAATGGAATCATGGAAGCGAACGGAGCGCGACAGGGCCTCGACTATAAAAAGCCATACGACCTTCTTCCGCAAAGAACTGGTAATGGCCGCTGCCGCTGAGTTGGGTGTTCCGCTGTGATTTATGACGACAGTTTCTGCGTCTCGTGGCGCCACGCCATGTGTTGCATCGTTTGTCGCATAGCGGCGGAACACCTTCAAGGGGGGAAGGGGGCACTGCCGACGTTTGGTCCCATTCTTTCCATGCAACGCCCATAGGGCTAATGTTAAAATGCCAAAATCAAAGGGGGCACGGTGCCCCGTTGCCCTCTTCATTCCGCCGCCTATGGTTTGCTGCAGCGTGGCGCCCTTTATCTGCAATTTTTCCTTCATACAATACTCACAGTACCTACCTTATTAGATTTAGATTATGTCAGATATTGAGATTCACCTTTTAGATTATTTGCGTTGATGATATTTACTTTTTATGTTTTATGATATTTGTATTACTATTCACTGTTTAGGCGCATTTTCATCATCATCTTCAATATCTTCATCATAAACTCTTGTCTAAAAATGTGTTACAAGCATGCCCGAGCCCTGATCTTTGCAAGGCTGTGCCATGTTTTGTCGTCCGGGTAGCTACGCGGAGTAATTTTTCTGGCCAAAACCTTCGCTGGCGCTTTGTATCGGTTCGTACCTTGACTCCATAACTGAATCTGACGATAAAATGGGAGAGCTTGAGTCGGCATTTAACGGAGGGATGCGGTCAAGATTGCTCGACAAGTTTATCTTTCATGCATCTCGATGGTACGCAACGGCCGTAAATCATTCCGGTCTGAAACAAAAGGGGGAGCGCTGAAGCTGCCCGAGCTGATTTTTTTCACCAGACTCGCCGGAAGGTTACTTCCTAGCTAAGTTACTGAGGACGGCATGAGTGCTGCTCCCGGCAGCGTACCCATTGGCTTCTAGAGAACAAAATGAAATGCTCTCTGACTTTTGAAATTGTCAGTCAGTGAGTGATAAAGACCGGGCAGTCGCATCCGTCGTCATTTCGTCAGCGCAACTAGCCAGTTCATCTCGTGGCTCTGCCGTTTCCTGCTCCGGTTGCCACGCGCCAGCCGAGAGAGCTGCCGCCATTCGCTGCCGTTTCCATGACCCGCAGTGGTGACTGCAGTTGTCCTTTGCCGGCGAGCCGCCCGTCGGCGCGCCGCCGCTCGCTGTGACACTGACAGTGACGGATCGGCGCCGCGGCGCCCATGCATAATGCAGCACCAGGTCGTGTGTCGAGCCCCGCTGCTTGGAGGAGCCGGCCGGCGATCATCGCCGACCAGTCCCCTCCGATCCGGCCGGGACGTGCACCCGCCACGGCCGCTCGCCCGCCGGGCTCTAGCAGCTTACCTTTACCAACAGTTACCTAGTATGTACCTACCTAGTACTTTTTAACCCTCGCCCCGCTGGGGAGGGTCTATTTGCCCCCCCCCCCTGTGGTTTTTCCTGAATAGCAAGAAACGGCGGCGGCCTCCAAATTTCCAGTACCTTCCCGGGCATCAATTTGACACATTCACACAAAATTTCAAGTCTTAGGTCACCTTAGGTCAGGAGTTATTGAGGTCAAACTGAGGTCATGTTGGAGCGAAAATAAGCAGAAAACATGAAATCTTGAAACGCATACAAACCAAATTTTCAGGGATGCGGAGCCGTGGAAGTTTCAGACGGCTCCGGCTCCGGCTCCGGATATAAAAATCGGTTCCGGCTCCAGCTCCGGGTGAAATGTCATGGCGGCTCCGGCTCCGGCTCCGGCTCCAGTACTCAGTACATCCCCTATGCAATTAAATACGGGTGGAAGAAAAAAGACAATAGGATTGGTACACGATGCTTCTCTAATTTTTTGTTTTTAGGGCCTTGGCTACGTTCATATTTTGAATACCACATGTTTTACTGCCTGGTACTGTCAAGCCGAAGTAGGTAAAAAAAAAAATACTCTTAAAAAAGAGCCGGAGCCGCCCCCTTTTTTTGACGGCTCCAGCTCCGGTTCCGGCTCCGGGCTATATTGTTTCACGGCTCCGGCTCCGGCTTCGGCTCCGGGCAAAATATGCCGGCTCCGGCGGCTTCGGCTCCAGCTCCGGCTCCGACTCCGCACCCCTGCAAATTTTAGATCGATTCCTCCTTTTTTGGCTAAGTTATAGCGAAAAAAAACTGTTCAAAATTGATGTCGTCAAATTTTTGAACTCAATTTTTAGCAATTCTAGACCACGTAGCGCAAAACAAAGACCCCATTGACCTCCCCGTGACGTGCTGCATCGAATCGAAACCATTTTATGCAACATTATCAACTTTGAAATTTGACCTAATTTGACCTGACCTTGACCTGACCTTCACCAGAACCTAATCTTAACCCTCGCATGTGTGCGGCGTTTGCCAGCTTCTAATGTGTAGGGGGGGGGGGGTCGGTTGGACCCCCCCCCTTGCCGTTTGGCCCCTGGTCGAGCTAGAGCTTCGCGGAAAAAACGAGCGTGTTGCCCGTGACGAGAGGAAGCCGATGATACCCAATTTTAAGGTCCTAGGTCATTGGTTGACCTTCCAGGTCAGGTCAATGACCCAAAGTCGGGAAAATCGGGACCTGTTAGAAAGTCGTAAAGTGTGGCTGCTAAGGGGTTTTTCGGGGTGCTGATCACGAATATCGTGTTAGTTTTGATCACAGATGATGTCTTGAAGCATTTAGACCAGGGCGGGTCAGGTCAGGTCAGGCCAACCAGTAGGCGTCGTGATGGGTATTCGTAGTACGTGTCAACCGCCTCTGACAGCTTCGTAACATGTTACGAAGT